TGCTTGATAATAAAGAAATTGAAATGTCCAGTAAATATTAAATTTTAACCCTGCTGTTAATGTTGTGAAATAATGAATTCTTTTCATAGCAGCAAAATGATAGAATGGGGAATGCAAATTTTATATGTTTTGCTATATAGACGACTTGCAACACAATATATAGATAAAACTTGTTACCAAACCATTTTGTTCAATAGCTATAAAATGATAGTGTAGCAGGCTTATAGACCATGCCATTGAGCTAAATACAACTGGAACGCTACCTTTTTATGAAGCCAAAAACTGCGGGAAATCACCTCTGCGGTGTAATGTAAGGGTAAATAAGATAACGTTCCAGTGAGGGATTTTAAACTCATTTGTCATTCCTTTAATGAAGCTCCCTACAGTTCAACTGAGATTCGGGTGTTTCGGGTAGCCTTCACTTACAACATTATTTTGATCAAACACACTCAAATTTGGAAATATGAACTTTGCAGGATAAGAATGACAGTAAAGTCTAAAGATGCTTGAATAGGATAACTGTTTGCGTTGTTGTGGCAACCATGTCTCATTTTCTTTTACACTTTTATCGTCAAGGTTTTTGGAATTCACGGTATCGTTTTTTCGGTTCAGTCAATATTTGATTTTTGCTTGACGATTGTTATTATTCAAGAAGCATTTTGTTTAACAACAAAGTAATCTTTCTATTTGAATCTATTTGAATTTCGTTTGCTCACGTGGTATGTAGGAGTGGGAACTGTTCATGATGTTGTTGAAGATATGTAAAATAACTACATGAATCTTTCCTTTACAACGACGGAATCTGATTTCGAAAGTGAAGAGGAAGCAATCACCACAAGAGATTTGCAAGAAAATTCAAAGTGCACTCTGCCAAATTTGTATATATAGATGGAGTATTGTGAGAAGAGTACTCTAAGGATAGCTATTGACGAGGAATAGTACAAGGACCAACAGAGAATGTGGTTGATTCATCGTGAGATTGTGGAAAGTGTGCTGTCTAATTGCAAAATTACCGAGAAGAGAAGTTATTTTCTAGATTGGATCATAAAAATATTGTAAGGCAAGAAGAAGTTTATCTTCCAAAATTAATCAAAATTATATGACATAATGGTTCAAAGCGAGGTTCAATTTAGACGATACAAATTTCTTGGCTTATTAAATGTTATCTGTGTAGAAACTTGTAAGAAAGTAGATAATCCCTTTCTTTCATGAAGCCCATGGATACTTTTCTTCATTATGGGAGAGTCATATTGTATAAAGAGGCTCTCGTTCATCACGAGAGAGTTTGAGGAAGTTACATTGTAAAAGGTAACAAGTAAAAAATTTATAAACATGCTTAGTGTCGGTTTACGTTAAAAAAAAAAGTTAATTTCATATTATTTATTATTCAATAAATAAAATATAAATAAATATTATTATATTTATAAATTTATTAGTATTTATATTTATTAATATTAAATTCATATTATTATTATTATTTATTAATTATTTAAAGTTAATTCTTTTTGTAATATTAATATATAAATTTTATATTAATTTATATATATTAATATATATTAATATGTATTTATTTATATATTAATATATATAATATAAATATTATTATATTTATTATATAAATATAATAAATAAATATTAATAATTTATTATTCTCTATTAAATAATGTTTATTAAAAAGGCAGAAATTGTTTGAAAATTTGCAATATCTTTGGATGTTCTAGTTTCCTTTTTGAGGAGAATTATGTTAAAGAAAAAAGATGAATTTTGAAAAAATGAAAATCCCGTTTTTGTTCTATGCCTCCCGTTGCCCCGACATATTTGAGCACTGGAATGTCTCATGTTAATTAAGGGAACCAGATAATCCTGTCAGTCCTGTAGCCCATGGATGGTTTGCACGTGATACGCGAGGAACAGTAAATGAGAGAGTTAAATCAGAAAGATATAAACCAATAAAAATTGTATAAAACATGTTTAAGGTTGTCTTAAATTATAAGTGCAAGAAAAAGGCACAGTGTCAGAAGAAGTTATTGAAACATTACTTGGTTTATTTTATGAACATTGGTTTATTTTGTAAACAAAAACATAAATTGAAAAGCAAAAGACCTGTTTTCGGTCCATGCTTCCCGATACCCTCTTAAGCGTAAGGCACTAGAACGCCGCATGTTAACGTTTTGGTAGGAGATTTCGGCCCCTCCACGCTGTCCTACTTGGGAGATGCAATAGCAAGCTTCCGCCCATCAAACCACGAGATCACCTGCAATAGGCTTTGCTTGGGGTACGCAGGGAGAGTGCGGTCGCGACCGAAGTCTGGGCCCTAAGCCACTGCATACTATATCGCACCCAGCTTCCACTGCTAGTTAACATCTAGCGCATGCCCAGATGATTTCTCTATTATATTGTTACTAAGCGTGCAATTTACTTCAAAAGTGGTGCTAGTAGATGTAGTTGGTCGTTGCCATGACCATGAACTTTGGTGAATGGTAAAGTTGACTGCGCATGCTCATTGAAATCACGCATGCGCAGATGATTTATCTAAAATTTTATGTTAGATGGAGCTAATTACTCCGTTGCCATAACCATGAACATGATGAGTTGTTGCAGTAGACTCAGTGAACTCTACAACAACTGGAAGGCTAACTCATTATAAACAAACCTACACTTTTTTGAAGCCAAATAGAAGCTGATTTGCCGCTTCGCGTGTATCTCGCGTGGACTGTTTTATTTGCGTGACGGATTGTTTTGCAAAAACTGCTAACTTGGGAAGAGAATGCTAGCCTAAATGCTTTATTTTTTTCAAAACCGTTAGCACAATTTTGTTATTAATGTGTTAAGATGCATTGTGGACGTTCCAAGACATGTTTTGTATACGTAACGCTGTATTATATAAAACATAAAAAGGAGAACACACTTCGAAATATGAATTTCATTTGTCGTCGAAAGACCAAAATTTAAGATAAAACTGATAACAGGTAGTCTGTATCTTTGAATGCTGTGCAGAATACACACAATCCACTTAATATAACATGTTTCATAACAATTTTATTGCTTTCAAAGTTACACTTGCTTTGTAAGAATTTCACATGCTCTTTTTGTAATGTGTGAAAGTGATGATTTGAAATTTTGAATTGTGGGTGATTGTTGGTTCTTGTCATTTACTTCCTCCCACTTCTTAAGAACTGGTGGAATATTTGACATGCATTCATATTTGTGTATTGAGCATTTTATCAGCAAGTTCATGCTTATAAATAAATAGCCAAGTGCACACTATGACAAGTATTGCTAATATAACCTGCTCTACATAAATGTTAAAAAGCAACCCTCATCCTCAGTGGTTTGAAACAGGGTTTTAAAATGATTATAAAGCAAGCAAAGCTATATCCTGTATCAAAATTTTATAGTATAGCATATTGATTGTAAAATTAGTTTTTTCTTGTAATACAGATGATGATGAATGTATATGTAATATATTAAATTTTAGGATGTGTGTTTAAAATGTTTGGTCATATTTGTGAAAATATATGATGATTCTATAATATTAGACTAATAATCTTTTTCATACTTGTATTACATTACAATTTTTACTTAAGTGTTTCAAAAGTTATGAATATGGAGTGTCAATTGTGTTTTTGTCTTTAAGTTTTGACCCTTTGACCTTTAATGGTTTAATGAACACAATAATATGGCATAACAGTTTTTAAAACTCTCTTTTTGCTAACTTTTGAAATATTTTGCAAAGTGTTTTTCTTTTGTTTATGTTCTGAACTTTCAAAAGGACTGGGCGAGCTAATTTTGCTCGGAAACACTAAAATTACCGAAAAACAGCGTTTTTTGCCCTGACAGCTTCATTTTCAAAGATTCAAACAATATTATAAGGATAGACAAGTGTATTTTACATCCTTCTAATGAAAAAAAACGAGGGGTGTCAGTTTTGTATTCAAGTTATAAGGCATGTTTTGACGTGCCAAAACAAAGTTCGCTTTTCATCCTTCTAAAAAGAAGCTTAAACATGCACAAATGCCGTTCAAATTTGTTTTATATTAAAGTCCAAACATTGTTTAAGGTTTTTAGACATTAAGCTGGCTCGAAGACCACTGTTTTTTGCAAAAAATCCGGCAATTTCGAAGTGATGTATTTCGCCTCCGTACCCTCAATGGCGGCGCTCATGCAGGCTTCAAAGATGGCGTCCAAGTTAGCCTTCCAGTTGTTATGGAGTTCATTGAGTAGACTACGCATGCTAAGATTAATTCTCAATTAATTTGGACCGAGCAAGCTCTGAAATTGTTGCTTATGAATTTGCTTAGCAATTTTCAATAACAATTTTTTGGCACGCTGTTTGTCTTCTTAAGATTGTTTTAACAATTGCATATCAAACACATAAACACTTTGTTACGCCACTCGTAATATCTGTGACAATGTTAGAGATTTTTTTTCTCCAAAACTTTGTATCTCCATATTTTGTGGATAAAAATCCTCTAACATTTATGATAGATTTTATAATTCAAAGATTGAAGTAGAAGAAATACTTGAAAATGAAACTTCCAACAGTGAAACAAAATCAAGAGTGACAGAGACGAAACGACGGCGCCAGCTTAAAGATAGCTTGATGAAATTGATCGTATTGAAGCACATAGTCTACACTCGAGAGTTTTGGATGAGAACACGTTCACCTATGAAAACACCAATGATTCCAAGCATGTTGACGACGATAAAAACTCTAACGAGGAACATGCTCCAATACAAAAACAATCCGTTAATAACACAAAGTCTACTGAAGATTTGTTCAAAAGAAATATCGATGAATCACATATACAGTTTGGAAGCTCGTTGGCTCACGTGTTATATAGTAGTAAGAATTGTTCATGATGTTGTTGAAAATGTGTAAAAATAACTACCATGCTAGCGTCTGTGGGACAATACATGCACCATCGCCCCCACTGTGGGACGATACCATTGGACAACACCCCCCTTTCTCCTCCTGGTCTGTATTGGCGGAAATCTGACGCCATAAATCCCAACGTGGAAATCGTGACAATTTGTAGTATCTCAAGATGAATTTCCACTATTTAGGACTCTTCTTTTTCCTTTAAAATGGTCTTAACAAAATCTTATCTGCGTTACGTCGAAGCTGGAATCTTTGGCGTAGTGGGAAGTGCTAGAGCTAATGTGTGTCTTGTTCAAAGTGGCGAGAAAAGACGTGAAATTTGCCGCGCGATTGTTCCCGCACTAGAAAATCTATATATTTGGGACGCTAGACTTGGCGAAAAAATATTAGAAGAGAATTGTTGAAACCTTAAAACAATGTTAGATTTTCCACTATTAATTTAAAATGTTTTTATGATATGCTTATCTAAATGTCTAGGTGAATGTCTTACAAGGTAACAAGAGCGAAGTGACATGTCTCTGCCTCAGTCCTGACTCTGAACATCTTGCTGTTGGGTGAGTAAAACAACTTATCTAATTAAATAATGTAACATTTCATTATGTCCAGTAAATGATGCCGAATATTTACTTCATTGTGGCTAATCAACACTTTCAACAGTAAAAGGTATGGTTGTAAGAAACACAAGGTCAGGCAGGGGAAGGGGCTCAACCCCCCTGCTTATAAAAGCCAAATCCTGGACCTCCTAACTTATAAAAGCCAGATCTTACCCTTCACCCTTGTATTCTGAAAGATCTTGATATCCAGGAAAAAAATGTCAGTCAACCAGTACAGTATGTAATGTTAACAAAAATGAAAATCATTGGTGTACATTCCCCACAAGTCCCAAACTATTTTAATTTCTACATTTTTGTTAGACTAGATAAATTACATCCCTTTGACAACAGGTAATAAAATTTGCCAATATAAAATAATTTTCTTTGCTTTTGAAAACTGAACAGCTTTTGATCTTAATGTATGTAATAAATTTGCAGCTGCTTACAGGGGAAGAATGTAAAGCTTAACCTGCATCCATGCACCTCCACCTGCAGTTTATTTTTAAATTTTAAGTATGGCGATGGTGTCATCAGAATTTGGAATATAAATAATGGTACATCGTCAGTGACATTTAGGTACATTTCCTGTCATGGAAAATATTTTTAATTTGGTCTATGCTCAACCATTTGTTTACCATCTGTACTTCTGATTTCCAATTACTAAACGGTCCTGAACTCATTTCAAAAATTTTTCAGTAAACAAACAGTTAATATAACTTATATGACAAAAAAAATATTTAAAATTTATTTTCTTTTAAGGTTTATCGTACAGTTGCTGCAATTGTTCAGCACGTTTTTGACTGGTAGGTTTGCTTCCTACACTGCTTGGCAACATAGCCCAATCTTTTGCATATGTAGCAACGTCTTCCTGTTAAATATTCATAAGGAAGTTGTAGTTCATAACACTTTTTATTTGTTTGTGTCATTAGCTTATTTCTGTTAACAATAATGCATGCAACTTGAAGTTTTCAACCATCTAATCACGCTGATGTTTTATCACTAGGTCAATCAAACTTCTTCTCATACCATTAAACTCTATACAAAAAAAAGTATATAATTGTCAATTACAATGGTCATGAAAGAAATGTTATTTCATTTTTTGTCATTACTTTTCTCGCATTCATTCATTTTGTGGCCTTTGTGGCCACAATTATAGCATCTTCCTTCATTGAAAAAAACAATGGCAATTATCAGCCTGGCATCAAAGGCAATTAGTACATGTATATACTATACCATGCCTTTAAATGAATTTTTTGCTTTGACATTGCTTTCTACATAAACAAATTGTTTGTTAGGTGCTGTTTGATTTGTTATGTGTATGATTAAATTTCAGGTTAAAAGACTCATGGTGAAAAGATTCAGGTGAAAAGGCTCAGGTGAAAAGACAAAAGTATCATGAGAAAGCTGATGGGCATATATCATATATGAATGAGAACAGTATTGTATACAATGCACTGTTTACCTTCTTTATTTTTTTGGTTTTCAGAATTGGAGCCACCTCAAATAGTAGTAGATTTTTAGCACATTTTGATGCATTGATGTATTGTGTGTAATAATGCAAAAAACAATCATTAAACAGTATAACCATTTTTGGCTAAATACACACTTGCATTTTCGTTATCTTTCTCTTCAGTTTCCTGACCTGTTTTGAATGCAATTGAACTATTTGAGTGATTTTCAGTTTTCAAAACAAAAACAAATTTTATACACATTTGATACCAGTGTCCATTGCTTTTTCCTCATCTGTGTAATCTAGCATCTGGTGTTTTTGTATGCAAAAAACGATAAAGTGTAAATAGATATTTTGCAAGAAGGGATTTAAACCATGTAAATGAAATAATTTCATGAATAGAACTTTCATTTCAGGCAAAACGATCGAAGACTTCTGGGGACCTTCCAAGACGATTTTTGGTGACATGAGGTTCCTAAAAAGTCTACACACTTACGATAAGGTGATCTCACTTTTTTCTAATGATGTTATCTTTGCTTACTCTTTCTGAGAGATTTCAAACCCGAAAATATCCCATAGGATAACATTGCACCAAGCATTGTGAAAACCATCCGTCAGAAGTACACCTCGAATCCGGAATTCGATCCCGATAAGATCAAGACTGCGTCCACTGCTGCCGAAGGCTTGTGTCAATGGTCATTGCGATGGATCAATATGATAAGTAAATGAAGTATTTACTTGTTATTCAATGTTCATTATAAAATAAAATCAATGCAACGCATGCGCTGATTGCATAAGCATGTGAGCTCCGTTCGATCTGAGCTCAATCAATCAAATCAATCAAAGAGAATTTTGCAGATGGACCATGAATTTTCAAATCTTTTAATTCGTTCAACGCTCCTTCCATTCTCTATATAGTAATCACATACATCAGATTAAACTCAAGACCGGATTTAAGGTGCGTGGAGGTCTGGTTGTTTGCCTTCTCAGGATATGTACGTCAATTGGAGGTGGGGCAATATATTAATATATTCAGCTATACTTGGCTATTATCTTTTGAAAACAATTTCAGTTTCAAAAGAAACCAGCCTGGCATAGCTGAATATATAAATATGGTCCTCTCTATTAACGTTCGATAACCCTGTGAACATAATTACTTAACATGTGATTTAAGACTTTTAACGAGTATACTAATAAATATCAACAAATACTGCATACACTAGAGTCTATTATAAAATAGCCCATTAAAACCTGTGCTCGATTGGTTGAATTCTCCTCAAATTCATGGTTTGTCGGATTTCATTTGACAGATAACGGAAATGTCTCATTTTCTACAGTTCTACTTAAGAATTTATATTTCGAGTTTGTGGCGTGTGTTTGGCAGTGAATGGGAAAAATTCTACGTTTCAAGGGAAGGTGGGAAACATGTCAGGGGAAAAGCGATCTTAGGAGACGTGCCCACCTCCCCGCGCCTCCCCTTAAAATCTCGCCTTGATTAAAATATAAAATAACTTCAGCAGAAACTGTTAATATTTAAGATCACATCGTACCTGACACAACACCAAAACAATCAAAATTATCGGAACCAAGGAACTTCCAATTTTAGCCTGTGAAAAAGAGCAAATTTACGATGATTCCATGATAAAGATACTTGGTCACATATAACTTTAAATGAGTATCTTCTGAGACAGTCTCATCTCATCGTAAAACAATGACGACAAATCACTATTAGTTCAAAAATAAAACGAACATCTAGCAGTAAAAAATTATGTCTCTTACAATGTATCTCCATGTATCTTTAATTTCAAAATGTATCCTAATGTATGTTAAAGTTCTTACACAATGTATGCTGATGTATGTTAATGTATCTTACATAATGCATGTTAATGTCTCAATGTATCTAAATGAATTTTATAAATTATCATGGCGTATTTCAAAATTGCTTTTAGTTGTATCTTTATGGATCGTTAAACGATCTAGTGTTTAACATGTACCTTGATGTATGTACCTTAAAGTTGCTCATAAAATGCACAACCAAGTTGTGATTTGAGTTTCTGTAATTTATTTCATATTAAAGTAAATGGTTTGAACCCGGGAGTATCGTTACATGTTTGTAAATGTAGATCTTCCAGGTTGGTATAGTCCTGAGAAGGACTGTTTTTGTTGTTGTAGACTGACGTTTCGACAACCTTAGCGGTAGTCATCTTCGGAGTCAAAAGTCAGAGTCAAATTCATTTTGACTCTGAAGATGACTACCGCTAAGGTTGTCGAAACTTCAGTCAACAACAACGAAAACAGTCCTTCTCAGGACTTTACCAACCTGGACGATCTACATTTACAAACAAGTCATTTCATATTAAATAATATAATCTCATACCTTTGCACATGTCAGGTAAATTTTCGACAAGAGAAAGCTCCACAAATCCTGCAAACAAATTATTCCTGCGGCGACAATGCAAATATGTGGCATCCATAACAACTTAAATCTCAACGTAGTTACGGCCATAAAGGTAAAGAAGAATGTTTGTACAAGATGATAAACGACTTCAGGACGTCTTTTCAACGAAGTATGAACATTTTTCCACCATGAAATAAAATCATTACCACTAAAAAAGAAATGTAGTATGTTGTTTTTTTTTTTTTTCAAGTGAGAAAAATTATCGGTATTTAACCCTCACTATAGCCCTTTCTATCCCTACAAGTACAGTCTATATGTTTTGTATAGTACCAGCATTAAAGGCAGTCGATATGAACAAGGTGATAACTAGTGATATACTGACATCGATATCTGCGTACCGTCTCCAAAACAGAATAACGCCATTGGTATTTTTCGTTCTCATTGCTCATAATACCGACATTTAAACATTGCATCGAAATAGAAATACAATTGAAATTAATCATAGTTTAACAATACTAAATATATATTACCTTAACAATTTTTGTTAAATTAATACTACTTTAATCTTTTTAGTTCCACATGATATCATGATATCAGAATGCAATAACAGTGCCTGCCATAACTCAATGTAAATTTTAAGTAGATTTTTCTTTGTCTTTGGTGACCCAATTTACAATTCAGCATTTGCATGACATTGCCAAAATTATGAACACTTTCAAAAGTACCAAGTTTTTGGCTATGTGCATGTGTGCAACCAGGCAATGATTCAACAAAAAAATATCTAACAAATTGAAAAATATAAGTCAATTGATTTCATGAACTTTTGGTTCAAAATGTATTTGTGCTGAAGCTAACAATCAACAAAATTGAGGAAATTTTTTAAGCATATTAATAATAAGTAATTGCATCGTTTTGAAAACATGGACTTCTAAGTTCTTCTCATCCTTCAGACTCATGCTGTTTTGATTTGATAGTTAAAACACAAGAAACCATGCTATTACCTACGCAAATTTATTCATCATTTTAACTCATACCTTGCTAACTTTTGAAATAACCAATTATGATGCAACTGTTAACACCAATCATTTAATGATCATGTCATTCATGAACTGGAGAACAAAGACAAACAACAGGGAACCAATGATTACAAAGGACATATTTCATAACTAAAATGAAAATATTCACATTTTGTTGATAAGATAAATGCTGATAATCATGATATATGTTTATGTTTCAAAACAAATTTATGAATGGCGAGTAATACCTTCTTCAACTTATGAAGTAACCATCCTTGCTCTAAATTGCTTTTGTTAAAGCATTCACCCCTCCTGACTCTGTCATAAAATAACCACCCCTCCTAACATGTGCTTCTGTAAAAGTTTTCTTTTCATGAAATCTTTTCAATTTTTTGCCACTTCAGCAATGCATTTTTGTAACGTTTGTTTCTTCTGCAATTTGTCAGCTGCATGTTTCACAATGAAAACTAGATGCGAACTTTTACTGTCAAGCAGATGAATTTTTATGATATTTCAAAGAAACCAACAACAAGTTCACTGTCAAAATTTGAAATTATGTTGAAATCAAGTAATTTCCATTTGCAGCCATCATCTTTTTAATCTGTATGCAAATCAAATGAAATCTCCATTTGAATTTAATGACAACACAACAATGAACAAATGGTCAAATTATTAACAAGCATTTGTTAACTCAATACACATTGTTTAATGTATCAATGCTCATATGTAATTCATAGCTTTAATGGAAAGTCATGTACATTTAGAAATCTCGACGAATCGGTCAATTTGACAGTTTCCTCAACTCAATGCTCAACTCCATCCTTATTTACTGTGAATGCTCGTTTTAACGCCGCGGCTCTTATTAGTTCCCTTATGTTCGCCGTCCATAAGCGGCGGTAAAACAAACACTGTACTAAAAAAATATAAAAGCTCATATTGTGTGACAATTTATGCGGGGGGCAAGATTGATAATTGAAGGAGAAGGTATTTATATATTGGTATGTTTTAATCTTTTGTTTAATCCATACCCACAATTGATTTCAATAGAAGCTACTAAGGTAGGACATGCATATATGAGTATTTGCCCCCCCCCCAAAAAAAAATTATCGAGCTTGCGCCACCTGTGTTACCTTGAAATAAATCTCTTTTCACACATAGAGGACAATTGTATGGTGGAGGCTGCCCTAATCTTGATTTCATTTTTGATAGTATCTGACAAACCTCGTTTAAGCGATAGAACAGCTTCAACGGTAATGGTGTTTCAGTTTCGTCTGAAGCGTATGAAATGATCGACATGTTTTTCTGTCTGCTGTTGTATAAATCAACAAAGTTACAAGTTCATTACGATTTTGAACAAAAACTATTTTTGAGATAAACATTACATCTCCTACAATTTGCTTTAGAAAGATTTCGTGCAAGCGTAGGACACGTCGTTCCCTGGGAATTTCTTTTGTAATTTTCAATTTTGACTGTAAGAAGTATAGTTTTTAAAATGAAATTGCTTTCTTATAGTTTTAAAACAACATTAAAACTGAAGTCATGAAGAAATTTGCAAATAAACAGGTATGTTTTAGAAAATGGATAAAAGGAAAGGATGAGCGCTAAGTAAACATTTTCACATTTTTTTGGATGAATTTCAATTAAACGTTTTTACAGGTTTCTTCTAAAACAATCGGTAATTCGTCAACGTCAAAACCCAAGGTCAACGGTGTAAATGACAAAAAAACTAAATCCATCATTAAAAGAAAATCCATCAAATATAACTGTAAAGCTCTGAAAAAGACTTCTTTAAGACGATCATTAAGAAAGCCATCCAAAAAGATTTATACAGTGGAAGATGTGCCTGATGATGATCTTAACATTTGTAAGTACTTTACTTTTAGTGTAGAGTCAAGAATATTTTAAACATCAGTTCATTACTGTGATTTGATATTTGCTTTAAAATTTTGAACAATGCAGTTGTTTTAACGATGGAGAACTTTTTCAAACAAATTTCATTGCTTTGAAGTACATCAATGGAATTATGTATGATCATTCAGTTCTTTATCCTGTGATGTAATTCTAACTTTTCTTTTTAGTTGGAGGTCACAGCTGTAGACACTGTGGAAGGATGTATAGTTATCCCGATTATTTAGAGAAACATTTAAAACGATGTCCAATGCTTGTTTGTACGAATCCCTGGGAATGTCCACGTTGTGGTCGAAAGTACAGTAGTGAAGACTATCTAAATGTTCAAATGAAAAATGAATGCGGAAAAAATCCACCATTAAAACGACATGTGAGGGTTCAAACAGGAGAGAAACCTTATCATTGCAAACATTGTGGTAAAACATTTAGACGGCTTTCTAAATTGAATAAACATGTTAGGATACATACTGGAGACAAACCTTACCAATGTGAAAATTGTGGTAAAAGATTTACACAGCTTGGTACCTTGAAACGTCATGGTATACATACAGGAGAGAAACCTTATAAATGTGAACATTATGGTAAAAGATTTACACAGCTTGGTAACTTAAAACGTCATGGTATGATACATACAGGAGAGAAACCTTATAAATGTGAACATTGTGGTAAAAGATTTACACAGCTTGGTAACTTAAAACGTCATGGTATGATACATACAGGAGAGAAACCTTATAAATGTGAACATTGTGGTAAAACATTTTCACAGAATTGTGATTTGAATAAACACCTTAGGATACATACAGGAGAGAAACCTTATAAATGTGAACATTGTGGTAAAACATTTTCCCACAATAGTGCCTTGAATAAACACCTTAGGATACATACAGGGAGAAACCTTATCAGTGTGAACATTGTGGTAAAACATTTACCCACAATAGTGCCTTGAATAGACACGTTAGGATACATACAGGAGAGAAACCTTATGAATGTGAAGATTGTGGTAAAACATTTTCACAGAATTGTGATTTGAATAAACACCTTAGGATACATACAGGAGAGAAACCTTATCAATGTCAACACTGTGGTAAAACATTTACACAGCTTTGTAACTTAAAAAGTCACGTAATGATACATACTGGAGAGAAACCTTATCAATGGGAACATTGTGGTAAAAGATTTAATAAGTCTAATAGTTTTAAAAGACACATGAGGATACACACAAGAAAAACCTTATCAATGTGAACATTTTGGTAAAACGTTTAATAAGAAGAGTAACTTGAAACAACACGGTAAGATCTATGCTCGTAAGTAACATTTATGATATTAATACTGTTGCAAGGGATTTACAAAGGATTGATTGAGAGTAAGGCTGACAAGAAGGAGGCCTTGGCCCTTCTAATCTTGTGAAGGACTGCCATCATGAAAAAATGAAATCCTTAGAGAAATTATGATGGAGGTAATCAGTGAAAAAATTTGATGCTTTTTACTTCTGTAAAAATTTTCCATGCAATAGTCATTTAATTATTTTAATATTAGTAATTGTAGTATAGATAGCTATACTACGTTGTTTGACTATACTTATCTTCATTTGATATGATTCAATGATTTCAATTGGATGTGAAATGTAGCAAGCCAGTCTATTCTTTTACTGTTTGTAAGTTGAAAATAATTTTATTCCCCAAATAAGCATCCAAATGAATAGAAGTGAATAATTTTGCAAGTTTAAAGCATTTCCATATTCTAATACTCATTTCGGACTTGTAAATTCTCTTTTTTAGAGTATTTCGTATTCGATTGTAATTTCAGCAGAATCATGGATGTTTAAAAACATTGAATATGGTTGATTCAAAATGTGCTTTACAGTACAATGTATCATATAATAACTTCCACTTTGAACATTTTAGCATGATCTAATTAATGGCTAATGGAAACAGCAAAGCATAATTATTTAACATTTATAAAATATTACTCGTACATAACTGTATTACTGTTGCAGGTAGCGAACCTGCAACAGTGACCTGCAACGCGTGTTTATATAACTCTACAGAATATTGGAAATGTTTTTCTATTTCTTAAATGTAACATATTCATTCAACAAGAACATTTCAAACTGTTTTAATCTTTGCTACTAGCGTGCTAGTCTGATGTTATAACAAAGGTGCTAAACTACTCATATCAATTTTTCACCGCCAGCAATATAAGTTTATATGAGACCCAGAATGTAGCGTTATATGAACTGAGACATTGTCTTGTGCACATTGAATTATCATTTAATACTTTATAACGCTATTATTCCTATGAAGAAGTAGTTCTCAAATTCTTATATTATCATTCTAATGATATACATCAATAAAACTGCAACGCAAATCCGCGCAAATAATTTTTATTTATCTACAAAGTTAGCCTTGAGAAATCACTTCTTCACTTTTTGAGCAGTACCAATATTACAATTGTTTACGTTAAAATAAAACAAACAAAGCTACATATTGAAGAATGAAACGAAAGGTTGATGAAATTAAAAATAAAATATCAACGTCAAGCTGAAAAGCAAACTGCAATACTACATGAACGTGAGAGTGAAGAAGTCTTATTATTGGTCACATGGTGTAAGGATGGTCACATGGTGTAAGGTTGGTCACATGGTGTAAGGTTGTTCATATGGTGTAAGATTGGTCATATGGTGTAAGGTTGGTCATATTGTGTAAGGTTGGTAATATGGTGTAAGGTTGGTCACATGGTGTTAAGGTTGGTCATATGGTATAAAGTTGGTCATATGGTGTAAGGTTGGTCATATGGTGTAAGGTTGGTCACATGGTTTAAGGTTGGTCATATGGTGTGGAGTTGGTCACATGTTGTAAGGTCGGTCATATGGTGTAAAGTTGGTCACATGGTGTAAGGTTGGTCACATGGTGTAAGGTTGTTCATATGGTGTAAGATTGGTCATATGGTGTAAGGTTGGTCATATTGTGTAAGGTTGGTAATATGGTGTAAGGTTGGTCACATGGTGTTAAGGTTGGTCATATGGTATAAAGTTGGTCATATGGTGTAAGGTTGGTCACATGGTGTAAGGTTGGTCATATGGTGTAAGGTTGGTCATATGGTGTAAAGTTGTATTTAGAATATACATGAAAAAAATTCCCAATTGGTTATGAGCAGTGCAATTTATTTTTGAAAACTGTGCTCCTAATTGGTTAGTCAAACAAAGAAGTGATCTACGTAAGAGCCAATCATAACACAATATTTCGAAGGGGGGAAAGTTTAAGTTATTGTAAACAAAGCAACTACAATGGCTAGCGAAGTTTCAAGTTGATTTTCTTTGTCGAACGAGCTTACAGTTCACCGTTTTCAAATTATTTCTGTATGAAAACATGAACACTGCTAAAAGTAGATACCTTGTTCTAGCTGCGTGTGCGGAAGCTATGGTGTTGTGAAAAGTAATATTTGACGGAATTCAAAAATACGAGTTGGTCGATATTTACAACTTGCCGGCAGGATTGAGAAATTTTTTCATGTATATTATTAATAAGTAATAGCATGGTTTCTCGTGCAATTTGGGAAAAACAGGCACTCGTCCTTCAGACTCGTGCAATTTCGATAGTCTTTGAAAAACTCACTCGTGCATGTTTTCCCCGAATTGCACTCGAAATCATGCTATGACATATACGAATCATACCTGAGTGGCAAATCGAAGTGAACATAGGGTTTCCTGGAAAGAGTCCTCGCGAGGAGAAACATTCACGAACATCAAACTGAAATATGAATGTATTATTTACATACACTAATTATCACAACTAACACATGTTAATACTTCATGTCATCTACAATGACGTGCGTACATTGATGAAAATCTGATACACATATATTCAGTAATACCAACCTTTTACTGTTACCACCAAGAGAGTTTTGCAACAAATGAGTTAATTTCGAGTTTCTATAAGGCACGTGACTAGCCTAAAATGTATTATAATTTATTTGACTATCATCTCTACACAGTATAAGCTACGTATGATTGAGTAAAATTTAAAAACACACGCAAACATTTATTTTCTGGAATAAATAATCTAAACATGCAATTTTTATTGTTGGAATTTCAAAGAACGGTCTATTGTTGCAGATGTATATATTTTTCTTATATTTATGTAATGTTTGAAAATCGCATTGTGCACAGCGTTAATAGAATACAAAAATCATATCTCCTGTCAATGAATTAAAGTTCATCCATCATAAGGTAAGTATATGCTTACCTTCTTAGCCAAGGAGTTGAAGACTGTACCCAAATGTGTGAGGCTCTGGTTTATGTGTTTAGCTTCCTTAAGTCTTAATCCTGTTGATCCGGATTGACTTATACTTTCAGAACCCGCCAGATCAACCAAACTCAATACCCCTGAAAAAATTTAGCTCATCGTCATCGCAAAACAATAGATAACAATTTTGCTACTGAATATATAATAAATTCGACGAGACATTTACAGCCACGGCGCCAAAGAGAGTGGGGACTAGAGCACACACCACCCCACCCCACTTTTTCCCCAGATAAAGTTTTTGCTAACATTTATACATTTTAGCTAAATTAAAGGCAAGGTAAGACGTAGTATATTTAGTTAATATATGTCTTAAGCCTGTTTTCCAATAGCCACGTATCGTAGCAAAACGTAACAGGGCGCATGCTATGATAGGTTACGACACGTGCCTAGTGGAAAACAGGCTTTACCCAACCCCCCTCCAGATTTGATTTCGCTGCGCAGTCCCTGTTTTACCGCGTGGAAACGTGTTAAAGCAAAATAAAAGCTGGACTAATCATATAGAACTAAGTCGATAGTCAACATCCATATTCTAATATGACGAACTATTTCAAAAATTCTTAAACTGAAAACAAAAACATAAATATGCATAATCCTGCCTTGACTTAGTTCCCCAGTAATCTCATTACTCCCGACGAGTTTTAGTTGAAAGACAGAGTGACTTCTCGACGAGCGATCGTTACAGTTTGTAGCGGCCACAGAACGATTTTCGTAAGCCTTTCGAAGTAAACTGGACACCTAGAGTATGAAAATTTTACAATATAGATAAAAAATAACAAAAAACAATAGCAAAAAGTGAGTGAGACCACACTCATTGTAATCATGTTTCTTAAAGAGTAAATATGCCATGACAAGCTCACTTACCTAAAAATGACGTACGTTACAAAATAATAGGGAGCTTTAGCAAAGACTACGAGTACGACTTACGTCATTTTGGCGCAAAAACATTGTTGCGACAACAAAAACACGTAGCCGTAATCGTGCTAAAGCTCCCTAGTATATTTAGATGACAAATGAATGTAAAGCATTTTATTAATTACAAACAAGATGCAACACAGCAGTGTATTGTACGCAACGTAAAACATTATAACGCAAATTAGAAGGAATTCTACGAGTCAACAGTTACAAATGGAAGTTGTACAAGATACAGCACGATGCATGCGCAAACCAGTGTTAAAGAGCGAGTGTAACTGTTTATGCTGAGTAACTGGACGAGCATGGGCGTAGAAAGATTGTTAACTGGGGGAAGAGGCTCGTACTCATATATTCATGATATGTAGAGTTAAGTTCTTTTGAAAGATAGTACTTTGTATAGCAGTATTGGGAAAAGAAGAGAATTTTGGAAGCGAAAACTAGCAACCGGTTTTACAAGCTTTGTACAATTTGCATTGGAAGCCTTTCTGAAAAAAAAACCCTCAAAAGCATGTTCTTTGGCAAATGATTTACTGGAGCAAATATATTGCATTGGATGCCTTTCTAAAAATTTAACGTTTCCACTTTGCTATTCTGCCGATTCTAATAGAAGAACAGTTGTCACAGATTGCCGTAAAGGGGATACACTGGCTGTTTGTATAAATCAACTCGAAAAAGCATTTCATGTGGCTTGCTTGTAATTTCTATGAACAATTTTAGTTTTCTCATCTGATGTGAGTGTTTTTAGATGATCAGAAGGCCCGAGAGTCAACTATAAGAAAACCATCATTTTCGTCTTCTCAAACTTTCTCTCTCAGCGTTGCCGTATGAAGGCAACATGAAGGAAACCATCAAAAATTTTGGAAGTAAAGGGGTGATCATTTCCTTCAAAAAGGCGAATACTTGCGTGTTATGGGGAACACTGTCCCTGTTGGATAACGTTAAGCTTAATCAGAAGACGGGCTTATGTTTCATCTGAGGCTGCATGTGTTGCCTTTTCTGAGGCTAGTGCATTGGCTTCCTTTGTCGCCGATTGCTGTGATTTTGAGAAACCACGGATGCTGAGAGAGGGAAGTATTAAGTTCTTATTATCAACCATAATTTTTGCAGTAAAGTAAATGGTTTGACCGAGAGTATCGTTACATGTTTGTAAAGGTAGATAGTCAGAAGGACTGTTTTTGTTGTTGTTGACTGATGTTTCGACAACCTTAGTGGAAGCCATATACAGAGTCAAAATCACTCTTCAGAGATGAACTCTGAAGATGACTACCGCTAAGGTTGTCGAAACGTCAGTCAACAACAACAAAACAGTCCTTCAGGACTATACCAACCTGACAATCTACATTACAAACACATAATTTTGCGTTACATAGAAGATGGCGATTCACGTAGGAGACGTACGTAGCCGGCATGTTAGTATGAGAAAACTAATTATGAAATTCAACGATATCATCGTTTGCTTCAATAATAGAGAGCTAAAAACGTAAAACTAAGGAGAAACAAAGTTTAAAAAAAAAACATAGGAACCATAACCTAAAACGAGATAAACTTAAAGCAACACAGATAACTCACTCCACAACCGCAAAATCCAAAAAACTGAAATGAAAAAACCTCTTCAAAAAAATCTTGCTTGCGCACACGTGTTACAGCCTTTCGTACGGCCCCGTAACGACTTAAGCCTGTTTTCCACTAGCCACGTATCGTAACGTATCGTAGCAAAACGTAACATGGCGCATGCGTGCTTATGAATTTGATGGTCAATAGGCGCAAGCACGCATGCGCCATGCTACGTTTTGCTACGATACCTTACGATACGTGGCTAGTGGAAAACAGGCATTAGGCCGATGACGAAATAGAATGCTACTTACTTGATCGGATGATGTAACGGCAACGGCTTTCAAGTTGGTAACAAACACATCGTTGACTTGTTTGCCATTGTTTGTGGTTACTTGTTTAATCTCATGTTTGCTGTCAGGGTTTCCAAGGAGATCACGTATTGTCTCGTTGTATATTTCGAGAAAAGACGCTTGTATCTCATACTACATAAAGTTTTGGGAAAAATCATGATGGAATAAATGGCTGGAAAAACCCCAATCGAGCGATTTAACATAATCATGTGTCGTGAGCTACATGTATCTTTCTGAATTGTAAACTCTCGTCGTTAATAATATACTTTATGTGTACAAAATTGACATTTATTACCTTCCAACCTTTACTCATGAGATCCTCGGCACTAAGGAAGACTTGTTCCATAGCACGTGGTATCACACCCCACGTATCACGGCCGTTGATATCACCTTCCATTGTAAATGTTTTACCTGATCCAGTCTGACCATACGCAAAGATGCAAACATTGTATCCATCAAGCACACTTTGAACTAGCTGTGCTGTTTCTTGATAAATCGTTACTTGAGTGGTTTCTGGACAAAATGCTTTGTCAAATGAAAATGACATTCTGGCTTGTTGGCTTTTCTTAGACAAAGTACTAGACTAAACAGGAAAGTTTGCAAAACATTTGAATCAATCTTCAATATTCACCAAACAACGTTGGTATGTTTATGTACGTACGTAAACATAAATAAACGGAACAGCGTAATGTTCCCAATAAAAGATTGAAAGGAACAGCGTAATGCATTTTACGGAACAGCGTAATGTTCCCAATAAAAGATTGAAAGGTCTACATAAATAAACACATACCTTGCTGTTATTGCGTACAATAATATCAGTGTCATTGGCGAACTCCATATTAATGAGCGAAGCACTAGTTTCTGAAGGCAGACTTGGCCGAACACGACAATAGACTATGCCTGTTTTTCACTAGCTACGTATCGTAAGGTATCGTAGCAAAACGTAACATGGCGCATGCGTGCTTGCGCCTATTGACCATCAAATTCATAAGTACGCATGCGCCATGTTACGTTTTGCTACGATACGTTACAATACGTGGCAAGTGGAAAACAGGCTTTAGTGACTTAAATGTTTCATTAGCGTAGCAAGGCCGCAAGTAGAACTCCTGGTATGTAAAGTTTAGAGCACAATCATCAATCATTTTTAAAGAAAATGTTTTTACAATGATTAAACACAGAAAAGTTTGCATAGCACGACAGATTTACAGGTGACCGCCCCAATGTAATGTTTCAATGTTTCGTCGTAAGTTCCTAACAGAGAAAAGCAATTATGCATTTTAAAAAACCAAAATCATTCAAAATACATACTTCTTCCATTTCTTTTTCTTTCATCACAACGTTTCCTTGAAGTTGGTGTTTCTGTGACTCCAATATCTCAATTCTTTGAATGCTTTCCTGCTGGGTACTTTTTAATGTACCCAGATACTGCTCCATATCCTCCATACGACCTTTATAGTCCAATGGAGCACGCTTTGGGGGAACAACTGTAATAAAAACGAGCAAAACCAGTTATAATAAATAAGGCATACATGTACACATAGACAAGGGGTGGAAATGTATAAGTATAACGCCGAGGTTATAAGCAATTGGGAATGAAAAGTGGAAAGACTAAGGTTATTCTTTTAAGCTTATTTTCAAATTAGTGGTTATAATATTTTGCTCAACCTTGAAGCCCGGTTTGCTTTTGTTGTATAATGAAACATATTCCAACATAAAAAGTCATTCAGAAAACTCGTGCATTAGAGCTCTTAGTATTTATAGAAACATACATGAAAACGTAGTTCTACAACTGGTGATATTCTGACTCCATTTTAAAACCGACATTCTATACAGTGTTTCCAGTGCACAGTGTTTAAGACAAAATTGAGTAAAAGTTGTTAAATTAAATATGGCATTTTCTTTGTCAACGTTAAAATTGTCAAACAAGAAAATTTGTCATCAACTTTAAATTGTTTCACTTCTTTGTTTGATAGCTTGGTCTCGTAGAAACATATAAATGTAAACCTATCTTCGTTCAGTAAATAATTTCATTAACTTACGCTCTAGGCACTTTTTGGTGTTAAACCTGTACAATCTAGGTTTATACAATTGCACTTTTTGGTGTTAAGCCTGTACAATCTAGGTTTATACAATTGCACTTTTTGGTGTTAAACCTGTACAATCTAGGTTTATACAATTTTACAATTGTAAAATGTTATAGATATTTGGACCCAAACTATACGTTGCGCAAAATCATAAGTGATCATATAATGTGAACACATAATTATATAATTTTAATTATAGATAACAAGATAAATGAAGTTGATTCAGAGGAAGAGGAAAATATGGATGTGGTTTGTAATATCTGAGTATGACATTGAAATAATTAAATTAATTTTTTAAAATGTTATTTCTAAAGTAATTATATTTTGGTCTTTTTTAGGTTGATGAAGAATAATCTGTTAACGAACAAGAAGAGAGAGAGAAATCTCACCTGTCATGAGAAAATTGTGTAGCTGAATTAAACATATTGGCTGAAAATGTTAACCACTGCAAAAAAACTGTCGCTGAAACGTTGTCCTCAGAAATAATGTTTACTCAAGAAATTGTAATGCATGTCCTTGTTTTTGTGGGCAACGCCCTTTTGCAGGGCAAATTTTCTCCACACCCCCCCATTACTCTAAGTCTAGTTACGCCCCTGTCTATAGTCAGTACTGTAAGTGATGCATTTTGCCGAATCCCAGTCAATGTTGTGCTTTGTGATTCGGTGATGTTCAGCAATGTGATTAGTTTTGTCTTGTTTCTTATTAGCTCGTTTGTGCTCAGTAAGTCTTATGTTTAAGTTCCTGCCAGTTTCCCCGATATAGGAGGCGTGGCAGTCGGAGCAGTTTATTTTGTAAACTGCACCTTGTCATTCGTGACAAAGAACACCTTGTCATTCGTGACTCGGAGCAGTTTATTTTGTAAACTGCACCTTAATTGTGCACCTTGTCGTTCGATGACTACCGCTAAGATTGTCGAAACGTCAGTCAACAACAACAAAAACAGTCCTTCTCAGGACTTTATTAACCTGAGGTTAGAAGCAGTTGCAAGTTAGTCAGTGCGTCAGTTACAGCTTGAAAGTATACTTTAATCACATCGATTGTAAATCATGTCTAAACGTTTGTACTCGGACATTGTAAAAAGTCCGGCGTCCCTGGCGCGAAGTTTTTACCACGCGGTAAATGAAAATTCCAATTAAAAGTGCTTCTTATTTGCGAAGTGGTGGTTGTTGTAACATAGATAACATTTTTGGTTTTACTCATTTCAAAATGATAAAAGTTCTATAGAAATAAAAAATGGTAATTTTCTATAGCGGTGGCATTTTCTCAGAACAGGTTACACCAATGACAGAAAGAACAACGTAAATAACTTTCGTATGATTTTTGAATGAAATATTTCTCATTCTGGAATAAAATCTTTTCTCTCGACCCAGGATTATGTCGTAACTAATGCTTCTAACACATGTTTCATTTTTGTCTGCGATAGTGCCATTCAAGTGAGTCTGTTCGTTTTACACAAATAGTTTTTGAAAGATTTTGTCTATCGTAACGATGTGTGAAAAAACAGTTTGCTAGCTAACATCACTTTAGAGAAATTGAAGATAAGAAAACAAAATTTGTTTAGTTGGACGAAATGATTTTTAATCTTTCACCAAACAAACATCGCATATTGTGCATGAATTATTGGGAAAATCAAATGTTGTATTAATTTAACATTAGAAAAGAAAGTATAGATTGTTGTGCAAAATACCATCTGATTCGAGCAAAAACTTGCCTTTTCTGGATGCAGCTATTCTTGCAGCCGTCTTCCTTCTCTCCTCATTGATTAATTTGCATGCATTGCATTTGCAATGTTTATATTCACAATTGTTTTTATGTCCTTTTACAGTGGCGAGTACGCCGTGATTCCTGCACTTTCTGCATTTTTGAGGACTCCTACACTTTGCCATTTTTTTTTTTTTATAAACTTTAAAAAGCCTCCAGCACGTCACGATGAAGAATGACCACAAACGAACAAATCAAAACTTATGTAGGATATGCAAATAGCATAATTACGATGACGTATTGCGTCACTAGCCCATATTCATTGCATTCCATATCCCCCAAATTAGCATATGCTTCATGATAAAATTAATGCTGTTTGATGAGTCAAATTACTTACACCATGACAGAACAGAAACTAACCCACTCCATCACCAGGTGAGAGTAGAATAATCAAAAGATCTTAAAGATAACATTGGTAATTTAAAGAAAATGGCTTTTACATGAAACATTTTTCCACAAACGAAAATGAATTTGTGACACACTACGGCTTCTTTAATGACTAAAATAAAACTGCACTATATGAAAAAGTAAGAATTGTAATGGATAAATCATAGTCGGCTTTAAATTCAGTCTTGCAAAGGTTCTAAGTCGTTGCTAAAAATGGAAAGTAAAAAGGAAGTTATTTATATTAAAGGACATTGGCAACGAAAATTTTTTTCATACGTTTATCATAGATTGCTATGGAATACTTAATTTCGTGTTTTCGTGTCTCTTTTGAATTATCCACTCAATGACACAATATAAAATAATAGTATTATAATAATATATAGCACATTTGTTCACTGGAATTTTAAAACAACGTTTAATTTGTTATTTGCATACATGAAAGATTATATAGTTTTATATAGGTGATAAGCTATAAACCGCTATGTTTTGTTCTTGACTGTAAAGTTGCGTTTATCCGTAATGTTTTACGTGCACAATGTACAAGTACACTTTTCGATTAACTTTATAACTTATGAATGAATACAAGTTTTGGGTGGATCACTCATGCATTTTGCTTTTGCGCAGTTTGTGACAAAACTTCGACAATGATATGGCATCGCAATTGTAGATCATAACAAAGAACATCAAAGAGCGTCTGTCTAAGACTTTAAATTTACGGTCTTTCGTGATAACATCAGACGGAAAACACCCTAATATGCTTGTTAGATTGATGACATGAACGTCAAGTACACACCAAAGATATCCGTAACATTAGAGTTAACGGAATAGGTGCGTCTGTAAAACGCCATGCCGTTAACAGCTGTGATGGAGACACATATTTTTAGAAATATAAAGATAATTACTGCACATGTGTGTATTTATACAACATTGCTCATTATTGTTATAGTCGAGAGGTAGTTCATTGTATCTCTTAAAAGCATCATTTAGTTTCGTTTTTATTTTAGCTTTTTCAATGTTTATTTTTCGCAACATATTTATACAATATCCGCCGTCCGCGTCCGCTTTTTATCTACACCCTGGCAAGATGTCTCTTATTGGAGGCAAAGCTACCCAAATATGGTTTGATGACTTTTTGATGACTTCAGTCTACATTCGAAACAGGTGTTTCAACTCACGTTTAGGAAAAACACCCTTCGAGGCTTTGGTTTGTAAGAAACCAAATTTAAGCAGCGTGCATGTATTTGGATCCACTTGTTATGCATACGTACAAAATGCCAAAAAGTTAGACAATCACGGTCGAAAAGGAATCTTTGTTGGTTATAACAAAGAAAGTCTGGCATATTTGATTTATTATTCGGAATCAAATAAAGTAGAGAAAGCACGATGTGTCAAATTTCATGATAAATTTCAGGCAGAAAAAATAAATGATATCGACGATATGATTTCAGATCGAATACAAAATGCAGATAGTATGAATGAAACAGAAGAAAAGCCGCACAATTTAAAAGAACAAAAAGATATTTCAAAAACAAAACAATCCTGAATTAATTAGTGACACGCACGCACAAGGGCAGCATGAAAAGAACAACTAGTTAGATATCCCACACGGAAACGAAGCAAACCAAGTTATTTTGGACAAAACCAAACAAACGACAATTTAAGTCTTACAGTAGACTATTGTTATAGGGTTGAGGACAAGCCATTAACATACAAACAGGCTGTTCAAGCACATGATCAGAAAAAAATGGCAAGATGCCATGAATATTGACATGAAAGCCCTGGTAGAAAATGATACATATGAGCTTGTACCAAAACCAAATAATAGACAAATAGTGGGGGAGAAATGGGTTTACACAACTAAGACAGACCAAAACGAGGCGGAAACGTTTAAAGCCAGATTTGTAGCCAAAGGTTACTCTCAAGTGCAGGAAATTGATTATCAAGAAACGTTTTCACCCACAGCACGCATGAGTTCAATTCGCACGAATCTATAGATGGTGATCATAACAGTTAGCTGTAAGATAGATGGCTACATCAATCAAACCTAACACAGCGCAGAGAAGTGTACGACCACAACTTTTGGAAAAAAATGGCAGAGGAAAATGTAATGCATTGACGATTATGTCGTAAAATGGGATCAGCACTTTGATAACATTTGTCTGATCTAAATTTTTCTAGATTATTGAAGGAAGAACGTGGCATAGCCTGAAAGGCCGCTACCATAGATATTTAAGTAAGTAAGTCAACTAATAAACACATGTTTCCTTTCAGTTGAATAAATGTCAAAAGAGATATAATATTTACATGTGAAGAAGATAAATATTTGTTTTCTATGGACAATTAAAGCTTAAGTTTGATTTTGATATCAAGAAACACACATTTAGGCTTTCTTTTTTATCTATTTCTTGATTACAGAAAACACGACTGAAGATGAGCCGTCTCCTCAATTTTTGAAAGAGCCATCATGTAAGTTTTTTGTGATTTTAAGAGGACAATTACATGGAGCAATTTCAACCCGGGCTTAGTTTTAGCCCTGTTTGTCGTGCTGAAATTTCAGCCAGGTCCTGTTACAATATCATATGAAAATAGCTT